AGAAACGAAGAACGTGGAAGACCACCGAAAAAGTTTGAAGACAGCGAATTGCAAGCATTGTTGGATGAGGATAACACTCAAACGCAACAACAACTCGCGGATCAATTAAATGTGACACGAGAAGCCGTCTCCATACGTTTGAAAACCAGGGGAAAGATCGAGAAGATGGGAAAATGGGTTCCACATGAACTGAATGAAAGACAGCAGGAAAATCGAAAAACCACTTGCGAAATGCTGCTCGCCAGGGGGTGTATATCAGTTAGACACGGGGCAATTGGACACAGTCCAATCACAAGTCGCTGTTCCAAGGGACCCTACAAATGTCTCTAATCACACGGTGCTGTGATTGGCTGTGTCCAAATGCACCGTGTCCAAGTGCACCGCTCCCCTCGCCAGGTACAAAAGAAAGTCATTTCTTAATTCGAATTGTGACTGGCGATGAAAAGTGGATATATTTTGAGAATCCTAAACGTAAAAGATCATGAGTAACTCCAGGCGAACCATCGACATCGACTGCAAAACCAAATCGCTATGGACGGAAGACAAGGATCTGTGTTTGGCGGGATCAGAAGGGTGTGATCTATTATGAGCTGCTGAAACTTGGTTAAACCGTTAATACTGAACGCTACCGACAACAAATGATCGATTTGAATCAAGAAAAACTTTGCGTGAAAAACGACCAGAATATAAAAAAAGGCAACACAAAGTGATTTTGCTTTATGATAATGCACCATCATACATAGCAAAACTAGTCAAGGAAACGATTGAGGCGTTTAGTTGGGAAATACTTTAGCATGCGGCTTACTCACCAGACTTGGCTCCGTCCGATTACTATTTATTTGCATCGATGGGACACGCACTTGCTAAGCAGCGCTTCACTTCTTACGAAAATGTACGAAAATGGCTCGATGACTGGTTTGCTTCAAAAGAGCAACAGTTTTTTTGGCGTAGCATCCACAAATTGTCAGACAGGTGGGAAAAATGTATAGCTAACGATGGGCAATACTTCGAATAAAATATTTTTTATCATTTTCATACAATAAACGTGTATTTTCTATACAAAAATTCCGGTTTCATATTTACATACCTGATAAGTCTTTTTAATCAGTATTATATCAGTTTAATATACCGTTATTTATATACATCGTCAATATTAAGATTATCTAATAAGAAGTTACTATTTAATATGCGTATTAAGTGCACGATGTAAACCAAGCCAATGGCTCCTGCACACAGGATGCGGTAATGCTTGCCGCGCGGCGGGAGTTCGCACAACAGCCAATCAATATGCTGCTTTCCGTAATAACCTTCTAGCTCTTACGAAAAAACAACATATTGATTGGCTGTTGTGCGAACTCCCGCCGCGCGGCAAGCATTACCGCGTCCTGTGTGCAGGAGCTACAAGACGTAAGAAGTAAGCAAATTAACCAATCACAGTCGTTGACCGTAAGAAGAATCAATGACTGTGATTGGTCAATTTGCTTACTGCTTACGTCTTACTACTTAAATTTTTCCATGTGCCATCAGCTTAAAGCTGGCCACACACACTTTTCGTAACAA